AGAAACATACAACTTTTTATAAAGAGGAAACAAGTTAACGAGAGGTCTTTCTTTCATGAGTAATCGTTTGTTTGTTTCTGTTTGGATGGCCAGTGTAAACCTTACAAATAAATAACCGTGCTAGGCATTACAATACGTGACCTCTGACTTCAGAATGTAAACTCTGCTGACATCTTCATCCAGGTGGGAGAAGCAAGAGCACTCTACAATCTTGGAAATGTGTATCATGCCAAAGGGAAAAGTTTTGGCTGCCCTGGTCCTCAGGACACAGGAGAATTTCCAGAAGAAGTGAGAAGCGCTCTGCAGGCAGCCGTGGATTATTATGAGTGAGTAGTGCTGACGCAGTCACGTGGTCCACCTAAGCCATGGCTCTGCTATACGTTCTTTATCCAGTAGTTAAGTTTTTAAGTTTGGCAAAGGTTTTTAACTGATGAGCTAACTAGCAAGTAAAAATAAACCATCAAATTGTTGCAAAAATGTTATGGTATAGTACTATTACTACAGTATCGTACTAGTTGTAAACCCCTCCCGTGGAAAGCTTTCATTTAAACTGTACACCAGTGCCACTTAGTGGCAAAAACAAGAAGTGTCGGTGGTTAGTCTCAGCTGTAGAGGTTCCAAGGTTAACTCCGTCCTTGATGCTGGGCAGAAACGCCCCCTGAATGGTTCAGTGAAGTGTTCCATACATCTTTAAAATGTGGCACATTATGGTTGTGAGCTTAGTTAAAAATTTCTTTCTGATAAAAGTAATTACTTTGTAAGTCAAATCAATAAATTTTTTTCTCAAACATTTTTTCACGTTTGTTATCGCCTAGGGAAAACCTATCACTAGTGACTGCTTTGGGTGACCGAGCGGCCCAAGGACGTGCCTTCGGAAATCTTGGAAACACACATTACCTCCTTGGCAACTTCAGGGATGCAGTTATAGCTCACGAGCAGGTACCGTGCGAGGCTCTGGGCATTTTCTCCATCAGCATTTTGAGCAGTGATGAGATTATTCTTTACTTTTCCTTACAGCTGTATCTAATGAAAATTTTCTGTTTCAGCGTCTCCTTATAGCAAAAGAATTTGGAGATAAAGCAGCTGAAAGAAGAGCGTATAGCAACCTTGGAAATGCATACATATTTCTCGGTGAATTTGAAGCCGCCTCTGAATACTACAAGTTAGTCTGATATTTCTATAGATGAATGTAAAATGAGTCGTAATGCAGCCCTATGAAACGAGGCTTTGGGTTTAAAGCCTGCTCTGTGCTGCACACTAGCAGCAGGACATTGGACTTCTAAGCCTTGGTTTCCTCATCTGTAATGGAAAATATCAATACCTTGTTTTGGGATCGTCGTGAGGATTGAATGCAATAATATATTAGCATAGTACTGGTATACAGTGCTCAACAAATATTATGGTACCTAAGATTTAACAGCAGTATAAGTCCCTGTATATTTTTATTAGTTTTTATCTTTAAAACTTTTTAAATGAAATTCTTAACTTTTAAAGTTTTTATCAAACTGTTTAGCATGTGTTAGGTGTATATTTATATACTTTTTTCACCCAACACGGGTTTGTCAAGAGGCCACAAAAAAGCCTGGTAGCAAACATATGCCCTCGTTCCCACGGTGATCACTGATTTTTTTCCTCTACCATCGCACCCTCTCACTGAGTCTTCCTCCCCCCTTCCCTGCCCACCTTTGATCCTCAGTGTAAGCGGAGGTCCCAGTCACTTACCTGAGCAGTTGGCAATCCCAGCTTCCTCTGTGGCAGGTGTTTCTCATCTGTCAATAAACTTGAAACAGATGATAGCAGAGTTTAGACTGCCTGAGGTTGCCTGGTCTGTGCTGTCTGGATTTTTTGGAGTTTTCCCTAATCAGTGGGGATTCGAAGGCCCGTACAGACTTTGGCAGACACCAGTTTGACTGAACCAAGGACACGGTGATTGATTTGGATTTATTGTTCAAGAACCCAGTGTGAGAGAGAGCTGAGTATTCTGTCATCTAAAATAGGGTAAAATTGCTTTTGGTCCATCTGAAAAACTAGAATGTCACCCCCACCCTACTTTAAACAGCAATTAATGGTTAATATTTGTTGGTTGATTAGATATGAAGTAGCCTCCAAATAAAATATATCACTACGTAAGGAGTATATATTTTGATTTCAAATATATGTTTCTTATGTTTTAAAGCTAAAAGTCATAGAAAAGTCTTAATAAATGATGTATTATATACTGAAAAATTCTGTAATAAAGTGGATGATGGCTGTTTGACTTAAAGAAGCACGAGTCTAATGAACCTTCCCCTCCCACCCAAATAGGCTGGAGCTTAGAGCTTTACACGTATCTTCAACCATTATTTTTGGAACTCTCATTTTCGGGGCCTACCAGTAAAACTGTCTTAACATTATAGATCTATATCCTTCAGGATAGAAAGCAGTAGTTTGGTAAGCCTACTTTAGTAATTGAATTTGGTTCCAGAAAGACTTCTGATCGTTTATGAATTAACTATATCCTCAAAGAATAATGCTGTGCCAGAAAGGGTCATGCCACAGGATCTGAGGACAATTGCAGAAGTCTTCCAAAAATGTTTGAGAGGACAGGCAACGTTAGAATAAGTGCGTAGCCTCCCAAGGTGACAGCTTTGAAGATACCATCATTAAATATATAATTTTAGGTTTGTTTGCTTAAGAAAAAACTACATTAGGATATACTTGCTCTTCATATAGTTATAAGTGACATAAAGTATTATACTCTTTAGCAAAAATTAGAAGAAAGCCGTATGAATTATTGGATCCAAAAGCATCTATAGGTTTAAGCACTGATGATAATAACAAAACAATTAACATTTATTAGCATCTACTGTAAGATGCTGTTCTTCGCACTTTATAGACACGAATTCATTTAATCCTCACAAAACCCTAGGAGGCGTTTTCCCCATTTTACATACGAGGAAACTAGTGCATAGAGAGGTTGAGCGACGTGCCCCAGTCACAGAGCTGGTAATCGGCAAGGCTGGGATTTGAACCCCGACAGTCTAGCTCTAGGATCCATGCTCTTAACTGCTACACTAGCTTCTCATTGACGATTCCATATGTATTAGGTAGCATTTGGTTAACGTTTAAGTGTAGTATTTAATATTTTTCATGAATCATAAGAATTTTAACTAAGTATTTTAAATTTTGACAAAACGTAAAGGCAACAGTATGATGGAAAAGAGGTTGTGTGAACAAAAGTCTAGGCTTTTGCCACTACAACAGGGAAAGGTTTTTAAATGTAAAAACACTCTGTTAATACTTAGAAGCACTTACTCTCCCATGCCACTACTCCTTTTCTCCGGAAAACTAATAGGTCTCTCAAATTTATTATACAAGTCTGGATTTGTTTTTTGTGTTTCAAAGAAATCTTTCCATTTTGTCTAAAAGCAGTGGAGGTAATATGGGATTTAGCTCACACAGGCTCTAAAACAGATTTACTTTAAAGGCAGGTGGGAAGAGTTTTATTTTATGATTATAGCAAAAATAAAAATGATAATTATGTAAGAATTTCTTCTTTTAGAAAGACGCTGCTGTTGGCTCGACAGCTTAAAGACAGAGCTGTAGAAGCACAGTCTTGTTACAGTCTTGGAAACACGTACACTTTGCTTCAAGACTATGAAAAGGCCATCGATTATCATCTGAAGCACTTAGCAATTGCTCAGGAGCTGAAGGACAGGTAAGTCACAGACCTCGTTACTGTAGTTATGGTAAACTATAGATGCATTATTCAAACCCTGGAATTTTCCCTTTGTTTTTAAGTTTGTTCCCTTTGTTTTCTTTTTAATTCCTTTTTAAGGAATTTCTCCTATTTTGATAACATTGTCTGATATTATTGTTTGAAGGACTAGCATGTGTTAGAGGATTAGACGTTTCTGTGTAGCCTTGAACCGGGATCAGTAAATGGGTCACAAGCTCCACTGCCTACAAAGGTCGTCCTGACTAGCCCAGTGGCGGGCTTAGAGATGAGGCCAGGCCCGACGTGAGGGGACGTGAGGGGACGTGAGGGGACGGCTGCTGCTCAGCTCCAGCTAATTGCTGCCAGGAAAGAGCGAGGGCCCAGTACGTCCAGATCCTTTTTTTTTTTTTTTTTTTTTTTTAAGGAAAGCTAGATTTCCTGAGTTTTATATGAAATCTTCTGATTTTTAATGTTAACGGATAATTTTTTTAAATTGAAAAACAGCATATCTACGCAGGCCTTTTAGTCTATGATGCTTACTTTAGGAAGATAGAGTTTTACCTCAGTATGAGGAAGAACTCTGTACAGTTGTTCAGAATGAAGTCTGCTGCCTCAAGAGGCAGTTCTCTTCCCCCGACGGTGTTCAGACACACACTGAATGACCGATTACCTGGTAGGGGTGTCATGAAAAAAAATGGGGCAGTTGAACTAGAAGACTTATCTCTGAGATTTTATTATATACTGCATGTTTAAAAAAGATGTTTTAATGCTTGACTCTGAGTTCGGTATTATCTGGGTAATCTCATCTGTCTCTAGTATTATGAAAAATCAAATAAACACAAAGCATTGTTTGTACCTTTAATTGCTGGTAGATGGCTTTTATTCCACACACAGACCTTTCAGAAACTGTAAGTTAGCTCTGGATTATTTTGTAGAATTGGTGAAGGAAGAGCATGTTGGAGCTTAGGAAATGCCTATACAGCTTTAGGAAATCACGATCAAGCGATGCATTTTGCTGAAAAGCACTTGGAAATCTCAAGAGAGGTATGAAACGGAAAAATTGCTATCTGTGCTATTATGATTGACAAACCAGCAGGAGGGAAAGTCCTATCACTTCTCTAGATTGCTTCTATAATGACTGAGTAATAAAATTTAGTTACGTATTATTCTCTTGGCATCAGACCTGCAGAAAGCATTTGGAAATACAGATTAGAGGTATGTTTGCACTGGCCTTGATGTAGGAAGAGAGGAGAGTAAGGCTGGACATGGGAATGGAAAGATCACTGAAGTATGCCTCCACCATATCCCCATTTCTATATGAAAGGTAGCATGGTGTAGAGGGAAAAACATCAAAGACTGGTTCCTGTTACAGTTCTGCCACTTGCTGGCAATTTGGGCTTGGAAATCTTTTCTGAGCCTCATTTGTCTCATCTGTAAAGTGGAATAATATCTACCTTGCAAATCATTATAAGGATGAGAAATAATGTATGTAGAAGTGCCTACTATATTGTCTAGTGATGGCTTAATAAATAAATGCTATTACACTGTAGTATGTAATATTATAGGTTAGAAATAAAATATTCTAAGGATATTTTATTCATGTGATGCCAAGTTAATGTGTCAGAGAATAACCACATTATTATTTAATATGATATAGAGATTAAGAACAATCTAATATTTTGAGAATTAGCTGTCCTAGTGACATATTTTAGAAACTTCTTTTTCTTTTTCTTTCTCCCTCCCCTCCCGTCCTCTCCCCTCCCCTCCCCACACTATTAATGAAAAACCGATTTCATTCATATTTCTAATATAACTATTTTAGGTCTCATAATTCTAACATAACTATTTTTATTTCTCTATTTTCTTCTAGTTTTAGATCCATAGCATTTTCAACTAATTTTCACCGTTCTTTAAGTTCTGCTCTGAAATACAAATGATTGTGATTGCAGGTTGGGGACAGAAGTGGCGAACTGACAGCACGGCTGAATCTCTCGGATCTTCAGATGGTTCTTGGTCTGAGCTACAGCACAAATAATTCAGTGATGTCTGAAAATATCGAAATCGATCACAGTTTGCATGGTAAGTAATAGCTCTTCAAAGCCCAACTTCTTTATCCTTAAGCTTTATATTAGTTATCACATCTTTGCAATATCCAGAGAGAACATATAACATAGGAGGTTCAGCTCTTTTATAAACATAAGTTAAAAACCCCAAATTTGGTTCTTAAAGAAGACTAATAAATCTACAGCAAGATTATTCAAGAAAAAAATAGGACATAATATAGATGTAGCAGAGGTTTAAAAAATAAGAGATTATCCTGAATAATTTTACGAAGAGATAGTTGAAAACTTAGGAGAAATAGAAGTTTCTAGAAGTACAACTTACCAAAACTGAATCAAAAAAAAAAAACAACAAAAAACACAAATCTAATGGTAGATTTTGTTAACCAATGTCACCATAAAAAAAAAAAATCTAATGGTAGAATGTAATTTGAATGGCATCCCTAATTCTTAAAACCATAAACATATGATCAGTAATTTTAAAACTTTCCACTAAGAAAATACGTGGCCAAGATTTTTTTAAGTGAGATCTACCAAACATTCAAGAAAATCGATTTCAACTTCCCATAAAATTTTATAGATAACTGGAAAAATCTTTCAGAAAACAGTATAAATTGATACCCAAACTAGATACAAGAAAGATTGGTAAATTATAGGCCAATCTTTACTCGTGAGCATAGATGCAAAAATTCTAAACAAAATATTAGCAAACCAAATCCAGCAATGTATTGAAAATAAACAGGAACGTAAGTGGATTGAACATTCGGAAATCATTGTAATACACCAATAAACATAGTAAAGGAGAAAACAGTCCAAATATATCATTAACTCTATTAAATGTAAATGTCCCATTTAAAGGACAGGGGTATCAGATTAGAAAAAGAGTAAAGTCCAGCTAAATGCAAGAGGAATATGTACAATGTAAGGATATTGTAAGCCTGAAGGTAAATGGATAGAAAAAGATATACTATGGGAAAAAGAAAGCTTGTATAGCTGTATTAATTAATATCAGATAAAATGTACTTTAGGGCAAAAAGATCTTGTTAGAAAAGAAGGTCACTTCACAAAGATGTTTCATAATGGTTAACAATTCCCCAGGAATATCAAAGCCTTAAATTTGTATGGTCCTGGTAATAAGCCTAATAACAAAGCTTTTGTGTACATAGAGCAAAACTGACCAAACTAGAAGAAATGGAAAAATCCAGAATCATAGTGGGAAGGTTTAACACATTTCACTTGGTAATTGCTCAGATTAGAAAACTAAATATAAAGGATGTCAATTCTCCTCAAATTGATATAAATCAGTGCACTGCCGAGCAATTCACTACAGTTCTTTTGTGGAACTCGATGAGGTCATTTTAATTCAGTGAACATACATATAAAAAAAAGGTCTGAGAACTTGAAGCCAAAACATTGCTGATGAAAAACAGGAAATGAGAAGTGCTTTATCTACAGATATAAAGATTACAAAACTACAGTAATTAAGACTGTGTGTTGTTGGCATAGAGACTGACAGACCAGTGGGATGTAATATAGAGCCTATGTTTATATTCCTTGCATATATGGAAACTAACATCTCACAAAAATCTTGCTGGATTAAATTTAAATATGGAAGACAGATTTAAAGCAATAACAATGATGCTGGCAAACACTTCCTGAATGCTTACTACTATTTACCAGGCACCGTACTGACCCCTTTACAGATGATGAATTTATCATCACACAATGTTAAGAGGTAGGTATAGTTGTTCTTGACATATGAGAAAACTGAATCACAGAGAGGTAATTGCCCACGGTCATATCACAAGTGAGTGAGTGGTCTGTCTTTAGAATCTATGCTCAGTCAGTATGCTGCACGACCTCTGAAAATAAAGGAGGGTATCTCTGTGGTATCAGTGAGGGGAAGGGTTTCTCAAGACATGAAAACAAAACTATTAAGGAAAAGATTGACGCTGAAATTAAGAATTTCATTTCATTGAAAGAAACCATAAAGAGATAAAGGTGACTGAGAGGGCATTTGCCACACACATGATTAAAAAAGGATTTGCAACCTCAATGTATAAGAATGCCTGTGAGTTAAAAACAAGACAAATAACCTAACTAAAAAATGGGCAAAAGCAGTGAACAGAAGAAGAAACACAAATAGCCCCATAAGTATATGAAGAGGTGTTTAATTTCATTTAATCAGGGAAAACCACAGTGAGGTAATACTGAAAGCCCATGAGGTGGGCAGAAATTAAAAGGTCTAATAATAACCAGTATTGAAACGATGTGGGTAATGAGAACTCTTAAGCATTATTGATGGGAGTAGAAATTGGTATATTCTAAAGAACCACCCGGCAGTGTTCTGGTGATGTTGCCGATGTACCAGCCTTACGATCAGGCGTACACTAAGAGATTTCTGAGCATTTCTGGAGTGGTATTGCCTACACCAAAAAATTGGAAGCAACCTAAATATCTGTCACCAATAGAACGGATAAATAATTTCCTAATCCTAAAATGGCAATTAAAATTAAACTGCACGTATCAGCTTGGGTGAATCAGAAACATAATGTTGCTCAAAGGGAGCGAGGTAGAGGGATGAGACTATTTACATAACGTTATGTAATAAGTTTTATTGCTTAGAGATATATACACATGTAATGAAAAATTACAGGAAAGGGAAGTTATGGGAGGAATTACCCAAGTAGGAGTTAACGTGTTGGTAATGGTTTATTTTTTAAGCTGGGTATTAGATATCATGTATTCCTTATGCCTTTAAAAATATTGCTTGATCTTTAAAAGACTTAGTGGGCATGAAAGTTCTTTATAGTTAATGATAATTTTATTGAAAAAAAATTTGAGCCTCTTTCCAGACTGGCAGTAAATCTGTCATCTCATGAAATCTTAAAATGGGAATGGGTAATTGAAAAGAGTTAACAAAATAATGGGGATGTTACTTTGATTCTTACCTCAAAATTGAAGGCTTAAAGTCTTTTCCTTATGTTTTTACTTAAACCACTCTATGGTGTGTTTTTAAGAAGTTGGATAATACAAAACTAATTATTATAAAGTGCCTTTTCTACATTAAGGGATGTTAGTAACCAAAGTTAGTTTCCAATCAAAATTTAACTTCCTTACATAAGCATTTTAGACGGAGTATATATTTGGTTTTTATGTAATTGGTATAGAAAATTATTCTTCTTAAAAGAATGGTTTGTACGTGTTTCCTTCTTCCATATGAGTTCGTGTAACACACTTTAAAATCGAATAACGAATAACGTAGTCATGCTGAATTTGTGATTTCAAGGGCTCCCTGGTTTATTTAAATTAATTTTTTTACAAAGGTGCACGCCCCAAGTTTTCACGCCGACACAGTATGGAAAACATGGAACTTATGAAGTTAACACCAGAAAAGGTTGGCAGTTTTTATGTTTTAAATTTCTTGAACTGTTATTTTAGTAACTTAGTTTAAATGAAAGTTTATTTTTTAATAAAATTACAAAATATTTTTATTGCACAGTTTATTCTTATTATTCATGGATTCCATATTTACAAGTTTGGCTATTTGCTAAAATTTAACTTCCAAATATTCTTGGTGTTCTTTTTCCCCCCATGTAAGGTCTCCTGTTTTGTTTTGTTTTTTTAATTGAAGTATAATCTACATACATCAGTTTCAGGTGTATAACATGATGATTTGGGATTTGTATATATTGTGAAACATTCACCACAATAGTCCAGTTAACATCCATCACCACAGTTTCAGAATTTTTTTATGATGAGAACTGATTTCCACTCTTAGCAACTTTTAAACATGCAGTGTTATTAATAGTAACCATGCTGGTCATGACATCTTCATAACTTGTTTTACAACTGGAAGTTTGTGCCTTTTGACTCTTCACCCACTTCATCCCTCACCCCCGCGCCTTTGGCAACTACCAGTCTGTTCTCTGCATCATCGAGCTTGGTTTATTTTTGCTTTTTTGTTTTATTTTTATTTTTTCGAATTCTACATGTAAATGAGATCATAATGGTATTTGTCTTTCTCTGAATTATTTCACTTAGCTGGTTTCACTGAAGGTCCATTCATGTTATCAAAAGGCAAGATTTCATTCCTTTTTAAGGCTGAATAATATTTCATTATATGTGTGTGTTTGACACAAGGATGTGTTCTAAGAAATGTCAGGCAGTTTTGTCACTGTATGAGCATCCTCGAGTGCACTAACACAGACCTGTTGGTACGGCCTACTACACGCCCAGGCTGTACGGTGTACCCTGTTGCTCCGAGGCTGCGAGCCTGAATAGCATGTTACTGTACAAAACAACATGAGATTAGATCAAGCGCAAGCGAAAATGACGTGCTCAAGGGATGTGGTGAACATGAGATGTATGAGGCCACTGTCCATGTAACATACCATGTTTTTCAGCAAACTTTTTATTAAGTAGAAAGAGTACTCTCTAATGGTAAAAAGTATAGTATACTTAATCCATAAACCAGCAACATAGTCATGTTATCATTATCAGTATGTACTGTACACAATGGTGCTGTACTTTTATGACTAGCAGTGCAGTAAGTTTGTTTACACCAGCATCAGCACAGACACATGAGTCATGCACTGTGCTATGTCACTAGGCTATAGGAATTTTTAAACCCCATTATAATCTGTGGCACCACCATCGTATATTGTGGTCTGTCGTTGACCAAACATCATTCAGTGCCTGACTGTATACCAAAATTTCTTTATCCATTCAGCCATCGATGGACACTTCGAAGTTTGCTTCCATATCTTGGCTATTGTAAATGATGCTGCGGTGAACCTAGGGGTGTGTATATCTTTGTGAGTTAGTGTTTTTCGTTTTTTTCAGATAAATACCCAGAAGTGAAAGTGCTAGGTTGCATGCAGCTCTATTTTTAATTTTTTGAGGAATTTCCGTACTGTTCAATAGTGGCTGCACCAGTTTACAGTCCCACCAGAAGGGTACAAGGGTTTCCTTCTCGCCACATCCTTGCTATCACTTGTTGTTTGTTCAACTTTTTTATGATAGCCATTCTGACAGGTGTGAATTGGTATCTCATTTTGGTTTTTATTTAGCGTTAAGCTGTATGAGTTCCTCATAAATTTTAGATATTAACCCATCGATGTATCATTTGTGAATAGCTTCTCATTTAGTAGGTTTTCATTGTGTTGATGATCTCCTTTGCTGTGTAGAAACTTTTAAGTTTGATGTAGTTCTGTTTGTTTATTTTTGCTTTTATTGCCCTTGCCCAAGGAGACATCCAAAAAGATAATGCCAAGACTGATGTCACAGAGTTCACTGCCTATGTTTTCTCTTAGAAGTTTACGGTTTCAGGTCTTAAATTTAAGTCTTTAATCCACTTTGTTTATTTTTGTATATGATGTAAGAAAGGTCCATTTTTTTTATATTTATCTGTCCAGTTTTTCTAGCACCACTTATTGAAGAGACTGTCTTTACCCCATTGTGTATGCTTACCACCTCTGCTATAGATGAATTGACCATGAAAGTGAGGATTTATTTTGGGGCTCTCTGTTCCATTGATATATAAAATGTTTTTATTCCAGTACCATACTGTTTTGATTATTGTAGCTTCGTGGTATAATTTGAAATCAGGGAGTGTAGTACCTCTTATTTTGTTCTTTCTCAAGGTTTGAAAATGGCTTTTTCCTACTTTCACGTTTGACTGGTTAGAAATAATTTCCTTCATAACTTGGAGGACACTGTTCACTGTGTATTCTTCAGTGTTTTTGTTGAGATGTCCAAATAACTATATAGAGACATTAAAATCTTCTCACATTTCCACTTGGAATTTGGGAGTGGTTTTATGTTCTAACAGCAAGGGCCATTTACTTTTGCTTGAATCAGTAGATCCTGAAATCCACTGTATCAAATAATTCACCCTTTATAACCGGTGTGAGAAAAAGAATTGAGAAATAAAAAATCATGCTCCATTGTGTTTGCAGATAGCTGGTTTTGTTCACTTACTAGCTACTTGTCTCATTCAGGTAATTAGCATCAGAGCAAGAGTTATTCTAATTTATGCCCCATGGGGGAATATTATGGGTTGATAGTAGAGGTTCTATAATTTCCAACTCCACACTTAAAATCCGTGCATTTGACTATATGCAGACCTGTGAAAAAATGTGCATCATTAAATCATCAATTACTACATAACATGGATGTTTAGTAGTTATTTGCAAACATTTAAGATTGAATGTTGAAGCTGCAAATGTCACATAGTTACCATATGTACTCTACATTTATCCTTTGCCCTCAATAAATATTATTTTGAGTCAATTATTTAAAGGTTGTTAAGCAAAACAGAAATTCATAGAACAAATTAATGGTTGTCAGATGGGAGTGGGGTTGGGGGTGCTGAGAAATGCGAAGGAATTAAGAGTTATTGCCAGTTACAGAAGAGTCACAGGGATATAAAGTACAGCATAGATGCTGTAGTCAGTAATGTAATAACTATGTATGGTGCCAGGTGGTTCTAGACTTATTGAGGGATCACTTCGTATGTTATCGATTGTCTAATCACTGTGCTGTACACCTGAAACTAATATAATATTGTACATCAACTCTATAATTTTTTAAAAATTAAAAGTGAATCTATTTTACCATTAAAAAAAGTTCTGTATTTTAAACCAGATCTAGACCTATAAAAATTGCTGATTATGTTTTGCCTATTGAGAATTTATTGCTAATGAAAACAGTACAGTTCTATTGACAAAAAATTACTACTGCTTTGTTTTAGATGTTAAATTTTACAGTTAAAAATTCTACATACATCCAAAATTTCCAGTTGTAACAGATTTTTCCGTAACTCACATCCAGAAAAGTTTGGTTCCTTCTCTGATCAAATTTTATTTTTATGAAGTTTTGGCAAACTTTGTTTCTTATTCTTAGGTTCTTAAAAGCCACTATTTTAATATTTTGATAATGAGAAATCCATAGTATATATTTGGTACAAGCTGGTGAAAACAGTGAAATGTACTGGCAAAAAGGAATTCATTAAAGGATCTAAACCCCCTTTCCCCAGTACTAACTGCGTGAAGATGGCAGGTTTAATATAGGAAACCAGAGAGAGTTTTGGTGTTTTTCTTCCATGCCCTACTTTACATTTGTTTATAATTTTGTAGGTACAGAACTGGAACAGTGAACTTCTTGCTAAACAAAAACCTCTTATTGCCAAACCTTCTACAAAGCTACTCTTTGTCAACAGATTGAAGGGGAAAAAATACAAAACTAGTTCCTCCACTAAAGTTCTTCAAGATGCCAGTAATTCCATTGATCACCGGATTCCGAGTTCTCAGAGGGTAGGTTCAAAATGAGTTGTTGAGTAGTGTGTTGGAGTACAGTAGTCCCCCCATCCACAGTTTTGCTTACCAACGTTTCAGTTCCCTGTGGTCAACTGCAGTCCAAAAATATTAACTGGAAAGTTCCAGAATAAACAGTGCATAAGTTTTAAGTTGTGTACTGTTCTGAGTAGATGAAATCTTGCAAGGTTGGGCCCTGGACGTGGACCAGCCCTTTGTCCAGCGCATCCGTGCTGTGTACGTGACCTGCCTGTCAGTCACTTGGCAGTCTTCTCAGTTATCAAATCAGCTGTCAAGATACGCCAGTGGTTGTGTACGACAGATAACGCTTATTTTACTTAAAAATGGCCCCAGAGCCTAAGAGCAGTGATGCTGGCAACGCGGACCTGCCTGGGCTGCCTGTGTCGCTATTATTTGCATAATTCAGTATCGGAAGCAGTTCCCCGAGTCTGGGGTATGTTTCTTTAGCCTTAGAAATACAAGTATTAAAAACTAAAATAACTAGAAATGCTTTTTTGTTGGATTGAAATAACCTTTTATTAACCACGTTGTTATCTTGTATTTTTTTTACAAAGAAAATGTCAGTTTTTCATTTTCATCTTTACTAACTTTTGCTTTACGTGTATCAAGATATTGTTCCACTGACGGTCTGAGGATAAAGCTGGAATACTTAGATTTTCTCTCAATATTTCAGAAAATCAGTGCAGATACCATTGGAGATGAAGGGTTTTTTGACCTCCTAAGCCGATTTCAAAGCAATCGGATGGATGATCAGAGGTGCTGCTTACAAGAACAGAACTGTGGGACAGCTTCAACCGCAGCTTCTTCCACTCCCCCTAGAACGATGCTGAAGAGTAAGTTATGCTTCTCTCCCAGTTCTAATAGTTCTCTGATCGTGAGAGGAGGTATAATAAATGAGCCTGAATCTAGGTATCTCAAATGCTGTCATCTGTACAGTTCAAAATAAGGTTTTGTTTCGGTTTCCCCAGGTTTATCTGTAATTCTAGTCCAGTGTACTTCTCCTACCTGTATCATCCTTCCTAGTTTCTTTGGGGTTGGGGGAAAAAACTCTAACTTTAGCAAATAAAAAGTTATATGCCTTATGTGCAAAATGCAAATGCTGCTTATCAGAATTAAAAGCCGAGACAGACTGAAGAGGAACTTCCCTCTGGCGAAGGCTAAAGCTAAGGCCTGCCTGAGCCTTAGAAAAGTGTCAAACAGGTGACAGACTTTTCTGTTTCAGGCACCAAAAGGCTTCCTCTACCTTAGAGCAGGACTTGCCCGCAGTACTTAACTCTGTTCAGTTAGCTAAATGGTTCCTTTCCAGGGTATGGAATGAAAACACTGTCTCATCCATCCTGGTTTGAGACAAGAAAAACTACCTTCCCAAATCTAGCCCCGTATGTTGTAAAAGTACATTTTGGGTGGGCATTAGATAAAGGGAAGTGTAGTCAAGCCTGAAGAGCCACCAAGTGCATCATCTGAAGCACTACAGGGTCCCCTCTTCCCAGCAGTGACTGTCAGTGACAGCTAAAGCAGGGGGACAGGGCGGGTGTTGGGACTGAACAAAGCAGAAAGGATCTGTTACGTATATAACAAACATGCTTAAATATTTTTATAATGTGTAGATTTTTTCCTGTTCACAGCACCATCTGTTTCCACGGTGTCCCCCAACACGGACGAGTTTTTAGATCTTCTTGCCAGCTCACAGAGCCGCCGCTTAGATGACCAGAGGGCCAGCTTCAGTAATCTGCCAGGGCTTCGCCTGACGCAAAACAACAACCAGTCAGTACTCGGCCGCCTGATGACTAAGGACAACAAAGAGCCTGACGAAGACTTCTTTGACATCCTTGTAAAATGTCAAGTATGTCTGCGTATTTTTATCATTTAGTATATAGCTCAGATGCAGTTGAGAGCTTTGGTGGCATTATAATTCTGATGTGAGAGGCAATCTATTATTCAGGGGCCCATCAGACGCCATAGATTCTTGTGGTAGCTTCTTGTTTTGTATTCCTTGTGGCTGATGAGGTGAGATGTTGCTGATTGAGAGGAGACTATAAAGGATACGGGACAAGACCTAGAAAGGAGCCATTCTTTCCGAAATTTTAGGAGACAGCATCAGGAGAAACCAGTGAGTGGAGCCCGCCATTTGGGAGAAATGCACACGTTGAGCTAGTTTTCATATTTTAGCTCTTTTAATTATTAACCAGAGTGGTTAAGGAATATCTCAGATTTCTTGGACAGGAGCATGAAGCAACTAAAGAGCCATTTCCTCTACCTGGCCCTAGTTCTGTTTTCTCATTCATAAAAATATGAGATACGTACTACCTCATTCATTCCACAAAAAATGGTTGAACACCTATGATATTCTGGAGGCTATTCCAGATGTTGGAGATACACTTGCTTTTTAAAGAATCCTACTTTTTAGTGGGAGACAATAAGTGGGTGTACCTATTACATGGTGGTACACAGTGGTTAGGGAAGACATTTCTGGATTGACATTTGAACAGAGGCCTGAATGAGATGAAGCAGTCAGTCATGTGCCTATAAAGACAGCAAGTCCCCCAACGCTTAACAGGTTCAAGGAATGGCAAGGTGGCCAGCATGGAGTGACTAAAAGTAGGGGAGAGTGGTACGAGATGGGGAGGAAGTAATCAGGGCTTAGGTCATTTAGGCCAGGAGGGGGTCTTGTGTTCCACATGTGATAGGAAGACAGTCGGGAGGGCTCTGCAACATCATCCTGGCTATTTTTGGAAGAATACCATGGCAGAGGTATTAATAGGAAACTAACAATTCAGGCAAAAGATATTGGTGACTTTGACTAGAGCAGTGGTAGCAGTGCACTTTGAAGTTAGGACCGATGGGCAAGATCTGTTAATAAACTGGATGGTGGGTATGAGGGAGAATCAGGGATGACTTATTTTGGCATGAAAAAATGATACCATTCAACCAAGTGAAGACTAGAGGAGCAAGAAGACTCCTGCTGTGGAGGTGTGGGTTTGGGATACCTCATCAGACATGCAGCAGAGGTGCTGGGAAGGCCACTGGAACAAAAATCTGGAGCCCAAGCGAGAAGTAACTTTGGGGTCATCAGCACAGAGCTGGTACTAAATAAAGCCCTGGCCCTGGAAATCTACCACGATCGAGAGGATAAGTGTTTTAAGATGTGTCCAATTGTGTCAAACACTGCCAAGAAGCCTAGCAAGATGATGGCTGAGCTGCTAGTTTTGGCAATATGGAGACTATAATTTTGAAAGATACTGTTTTAGTCATATGATAGGAACAAAGGATTGAATAGGTTGAGAAAAATGGGGGTGTGGAAGGGGGAATAGTAAAATTTGAGGGATTTTTCTCATAAAGGAATCATTAGCTGAAGGGAGATAATATAGCATATCTGCTGAGGGGAATCTGTGATGTAGAAGGATAATGGGGTAATCGAAGAACGGTTCCTATAGATGAGAAAGAAGGCAGAGTGATGGGTGCAGAGCAAGTAGAAATTCTTTCTGATGTTTATTTTCTCAGCAAACTAAGAAGTAGGGCCATAAACCGAGATTGGAGCATTGTAATTTTGAAAAGGAAGTGTAACGTAATTGATTTTGCAAAACTGAAAGAGAAAGAATTGCTGACCTGTGCTGAAGACTCACTTCAAGTTCACAGTCACTGAAGTAAGACCAGTGTCAGTACAACTCTATCTTTTTGCAGTCATAACCAGGTGCTTGAGCTAATCAAGGTTGGTACTTTGCCTGGAGAATAGGATGGAAGGGGAGAGATGGATATGCCAGGGAATGATTTTAGTAATGGACTTTGGAATCTAGGCTGCATCTAAGAAAGGTGTGAAAAGTGGCCATGAGCCCAGTGAATTCAAGAAATACTGAAGACATACCTAATGACAGATTAACATAAAGCAAAAAATTGATGGGCGAAATGGGCATTTCTACATTAGTGGAGACTTCAATATCCGCCCCCCACTAATGAGTAGGAAAACCAGGAAGAAGAAATTAGAGGCCTTGAATAACAATATAAACCACCATATCTAAAGGACATATTAGAACTCAACAGTACACATTTTTCTCAAGTGCACATGAGACATTCTCCAGGATGACGACGTGTTAGGCCACAAATTAAGTCTGAACAGATTTTAGATACCATATAAACTCTTATCCAACCACAATGGAATGAAGTTAGAAGCTGAAAACTGGAAAATTCATGAAAATTAACCAGTGGGTCAAATAAGAAATCCCAAGAGAAATTAGAAAATACCTAGAGAGTAATGAAAACACAATATTCTAAAACTCGTGGGAGACAGTGCTTGGGGAAATTTATAGCTGTAAATACATTAAAAAGATCTCAAAACAACCTGACTATAACTTAAGGAGCTAGAAAAAGAAGAAAATTACTGGAAGGAAGTAACAAACAATTAGACAAGAGCTAAATAGAAGAGAGAGAAAATAAACACAACCAAAAAGTGATTCTTCAAAAAGAGCAGCAAACCTTTAGACTAAGAAAAATATAAGGCTTAAATTACTAAAATTAGAAAATACTATGATTATATGCCAAGTTGGGTAACTTAGATGGAATAACCAGAAACACAAAACCAAGACTGAAGCATAAAGAAATAGACCCATAATTTGTAAGCAGATTTTATCAGTAATCAAAAACCTCCTGACCAAAAAAAAAACAAACCTGGTGGCTTTACTGAATCCTACCAAACATTTAAAGAACACCAGCCCTTCTCAGCCTCTTCCAAAAAACTGAAGGGGACACTTCCTATGAAGCCAGTGTATTGACACTACAAACTACAGGCCAATATCTTTTTTGAATATAGATGGAGAAATCATCGAATACGAGCAAACGGAATCCAGCAGCATATGAAAAGGATTATATACCATGAGCAGGTGAGATTTATTCCTGGAATGCAACGATGATTCAGCATATGGAAATCAATCAGTGTAATACATTAACAGAATGAAAGAAAAAACCAGTCATCTTAATTGATGCATAAGAAGCATTTGACAAAATTCAAAACATTTATATAAGATTTACGAAATACCTGCAGTTACCATATTTGATGGTAAAAGACTGAAACAAGACGAGGATGTCCACTTTGCCACTTCTTTTCAACATAGTACTAGAAGTTCTACCCAGAGCAGTTAAGGAAAAAAAAAAGGCATTCAAATTGGAAAGGAAGAAGTAAACTTATCTTTGTTTAGAGATGACAGGATCTTATGTGTAGAAAAAACTAGATTTCACATGCACAAACTGTTAGAACTAAAACTCAGCAAAGTAACAGGATATAAAACTAAATATTCAAAAGTCAGTTGTTTCTATACATTAACAGTGAACAGTGAAAAGGAAATTAACAGTTCCATTTGCAATAGCATCAAAAAGAACAAAATACTTAGGAATTAACCGAGGAGGTGAAGACTTACACAATGTAAACTACAAAATATTTCTGAAAGAAATTAAGAACATAAGTAAATGGAAAGATGTTCACAGATTGGAGGACTCAACATTGTTAAAAATAGTAATACGCAGAGTGTAATCTACAGATTCAAAGCAATCCCTATCAAAACTGCAGTGACATTTTTTTACAGAAAGAAAAATCTATCCTAAAATTCATGTGGAATCTTGAGGGAACCCAAACAGGTAAAACAATCTTAAGCAAGGAAAGCAAAGTTGGAAGACTCACACTTCCTGATTTCAAAATTTACTATATAGCTACAATAATCAAAACAATGCTGCACTGGCATAATGACAGACATATTGACCAATGGAATAGAGAGCCCAGAAATAAGCCCTCACGTATATAGTTTCGACAAGGGTGCCAAGACCATTCAATGAAGAAAGGAGTCTTATCAACAAATGATGAAAAACTGGATATCCACATGCAAAGGCTGGACTCCAACATCACGTATATAAAAGTTAACGCAAAATGGATCAAACACCAAAACATAAGAGTTAAAGCTAGAAAACTTTTACAAGAAAATGCATGGGGACAGCTTCATGACTTTGCATATGGCAGTGATTTCTTGGTTATGACATTAAAGGCACAGGCAACAAAAAACTGAAAAACTGGACTTAATGAAAATTTAAAACTTCTGTACATCAAAGGACACTATCAACGAAAAGGCAACCCACAGGAAATATTTGCAAATAACATAACTGATAAAGGACTAATCTGGAATGAAGAGAACTCCAAAAACTCAACAAAAAATCTGACTCAAAAATAAACCAAATAGACATTTCTCCAAAAATTTACAAATGGCCAATAGACACAGGAAAAGATGCTTAACATCACCGATTAGAGAAATGCAAATCAAAACCATAGTGAGATACCACCTGACACCCATTAGGATGGCTGTTATCAAAAACAATCACGTGTTGGCAAGGCTGTGGAGAAATTGGGACCCTTGTGCACTATAGGTAGGAATGTAAAATGGTGCAGCTGCTCTGGCAGTATGGCAGTTCCTCAGAACATTAAAAATAGAATTACCATGTGCTCCAGCACCCCCACTTTAGAGTATGTACCCCAAACACCTGAAAAACAGGGACATGAACAGTTATCTGTAATCCCATGTGCATAGCATTATTCACAACAGCCAAAAGGTGACAGATGAATGGATAAACAATGTGGTATATGCATACAATGGAATGTTTTAGCATTAAAAACAAAGGAAATTCTGACACTTGCTACAAGATGGATGCACCTTGAAGACATGCTGAGAAATAAGCAGTCATACAAGGAAAAATACCGTATGATTCATAGAGACAAAGTAGAATGGAGGTTGCAGGGGCCGGAGGGAAGGGAGAATGCGTGTTACTGTTTAATAGCTTTAGAGTTTGTTTCGCAAGATGAAAAATGTTCTGGATATGAATTTGGTGGGGATGATGGCACATGAATGTACTTAATGCCACTGAATTGTGCGCTTGAAAGTGGTTAGACTGGTAAATTTTACGTTTATTTCACCACAATTAAAGGTTTATGGAAGAGTACTAGAGAGCATGATCTAGAAAAATAGGGAGGCAGTGGGCCTCACAGGATGTTTGTTTTGGAATGAAGATAAGGATGACAGAGTTTGGCCGATGGATAAGGCAAAAGTAGAGAATGAAGACACCACAGCAGAGAGGTCTAGGGACTGAAGTGCCCGAGCGCTGGGTGAACTGGAGGACACTGACGTTACCCGGAATCATGACAGGAATGAAGACTGAGCCAGGTGTGTGTGGAAGATGGGGTCGGCGCTGACCGGGAGGCCAGCGGACAGCTGCACCCTCACAGGGCTGAGAGTTCGGTGAGTTGTATTCGCTGATGCCTAATACGGCAAGGTCATCACCTTTCACTGTCATGCGTGGACACAGCTGACTTGTGTCATAACATCTGACCAAAGACATGAAGATGTGGCTGCACTGCTATACAGTATCTGTTACGTTCCGATTATGTAAGTCATTTTAAAGAAAAAATTTTACTAGCTTTCAGGTCTAAAGCTTAAATATCTGAGAAGAGGCAAAAAAGAAATGTTTAAAGCTACATTTTCTTGTTGTGAATGACAGCGATAGCACAGCTTGGTGCTCTCCCTCCCTGCAGTATTTGGTTCAGTCTCTTTCTCCTCAATTTTTAGGGCTCCCGATTAGATGATCAGAGATGTGCTCCACCACCTGCTGCCACAAGGGGACCGACGGTACCAGATGAGGACTTCTTCAGCCTTATTTTACGGTCTCAGGCAAAAAGGATGGATGAACAGAGAGTTCTTTTACAAAGAGATCAAAACAGAGACACTGAATTTGGGCTAAAGGGCTGTTTGCAAAGTACTGCTTTGTTGGAATTTAAAAATTCAGGAAAAAAATAAGCAAACCACTAGTAGCTACTATGGATGTATTATTTTTTTTTAAAGGCGACCCTATTTCCTTTCAGAACTGCAAGGAAATTCATTCTATTTCTTTTTTTCCTTAAAAGGAGAAATTATAGCACTGTAATACAGCTTAAGGTATTTTTAGAATGATGTAAATATATACCCTTTAATAACTGTAGTATTAATATCCCGTGGGACACTCACTTGTTTAGGGTGGAGGTGTCTTAGAAGGTGCTGCCTCAGCTTCTGTGATTTCTGCTTGGGACTGTGTTCTTTGGCAACTTGTTCAATTCCTTCACCTATGTTTGTGAAGTAGAAAGTTAAATGAATCCCAGTTTACAATTTAATCCTCTTGCTAATTTTTTTTTAAATCTTGACAGTGGCTCTTTTTATACTTAACCACTGAGGTAGTGAGAAACTGTGCTGTCTAGTAAAAATAATGTACTTGACCAACATGTAAAAAAAGGTCTTTGTTAAAAAAAAAAAAGAAAAAAATCTACTTTTTCCCCTCTACAGAAAGTCTATTTTCAATATATTTTTAGGCCAAAGCCATTATAAAAAACTCAAGAAATAAACTTTTAGCATGTTTCAGACTCTGTTTAATTAAAGAGAAAATACAGTTCTGCGCCGCTTAACGATGGGGATAGGTTCCTAGAAACGCCTTGTCGTGCCATACGAATGTCGTAAAGTACTTAAACCCAGGGGCTACAGCCTGCGGCTGTGACTGGCAGCACAGTAGGTCTGTTTCCACCAGCACCACCACGAACACGTAAGCAATTGGGCTGTGATGGCTAAGACGGCACCAGGCATTTTTCAGCTCCACCGTGTGTGGTCAGCTGACTGAATCATCCTTGTGTGGTGCATGACCATATATATATACACACATATACATGGTTGAAAATTGTATCCTTTGTTGCAAAGTACTGCTATAAACTTTTTAAATCCCTGATGTTAAAGAAAAATGTTATGTCAAGAACCTAGGCCATGAAAATGACAACAGATGAACTCCTAAAACTCAAGTATGAAAGATATAGGTTAGGGTCTCAGTTGTCATTAAGCCTTGCCCTCCTCTTCCCAGAAACTGAAGGTGGTTTACAAGGATACATAACAGAACATGACATAACGTTTAGCAAAAGACAACCAGGACGGACTAGAGCAGGGCCCAGACTCAGGCTGAACTGCATGCTGCGAATGCCCACACCAGGAGCCAGCTGGAACGCGTTCACCTCTGGTTGCTCCTGCCCGCACAGCTGGGATTGGCTCTGGGAAGCTCGTTCTAAAAATTCTTCAGGTGACTTTGATCAGCAGTGAGAATCACTTCTCCAAAAGGCCGATGTTTAAAAAAATGAAGAGTTAGTTACATAATCTGGGATTACATCAAGGACTTGAGAAAATTATACTTAGTTCTAATAAGATCATACAGAAATCCTGTCACAAGTACTTAACACCTGGCTTGTGTTTTATATATTATAGTTGGGATACAATGTCCTGGAGATAGCATCCTTCTAAAAGCTGCATATAAGTTTTGCTTTTTCTTATAAAAATGAGCAAAGATAGCATATCAAGCACAGTAATGTAAAATAAGGGTTTATTTTGTATATGTGGTAGTTCTTAGGCCTTGTAAACATTCAACATTATTCCATTTAAAAATTACTTTTAAAAGCTGTCTGTCCCATTCTGATTTTCCTAAAAACTTATAACTATAAGCCTTAATTTTAGTGATAAATACTGGATATACAATAAACAAGGCCATCTCTTCTAGTTATAAACCGGCCTTGATAATCATGTTCAGCTTGCATGACTAACGCATGTTCAACTTGCATGACTAATGGCTGTCATTCCGTGGCAGTAGCATGTTGCCTTGCTATCAAAGTAGATTTCAACCCCAAATATTTATCTGTAATGAAAGAATACAAAGGTGAAATTTTACTTAAAATTTTTTCTTTTTGAGATTTTTGGATTGATAAAAAGTCAGGAGTGCAAAAAGCATGAACTCTACTGTCACAGTCACGGCACCGGCTGAGGCACTCGGTGCCCTTCAGGGTCAAATCACAGTGCAGAGGACACTGGCTGCCCTGGGAGCACAGTCACCTGTGTGAACGTGTCTCGGAGTAGTCCCAGGGAGGACTACTTTATATGCGTCGACGTTCACAAATCTGTTATTTGAAACTGCAGGCTTCCTTTCATTCTTGGTTAATATATGCCTACTGTTATAAATTTTTATATAAAGTTATTTTTGTATCTCTTGGGAAAAATTATCACTTCTCTGATGAAATACTAAAGATGTTGCAATATTAAGCTAGAAAATATTAACATGTAAAATTAACTTGTTCCAGACACCTACACAACACTTCTGGGAGCCAAAAAAAAAAGGGGGGGAGGGGGGTATATCCTACACTTATTTAAAAAACATAGCAGAAAGCAAATACTTTGAAAATGCTTTTTTTCCCTGATACAAATACCTGAATGAAAATTATAAGACTATTTCTAACTGGTATCATTCTTACTAAGCAACTGAACATAACTTTTAGTTTCAAGGTTAAATCAAAGGACACCTGAATGTATGTGAAATTTGCTTTTTAGGTAGGTACCAGCAAAATTTATGCTTTTTAAAAAAAGTTTAAAGAATAGTTTTAAAAATCAGAATTAAAAATGTTGATTGTATCACCCGTCTATAGTTAAGAAAAACACCATGTTTTCCTTATGGCATTCTTCTCTATGTATAGATCCCTAAAACTTAGAACTTCCTATGGCCCGAACAATATGGTTTGCTGTAATATAAATAAGATACCGTAATATCTAACAGTTGCAACTGCTGGGATTCTGAGTAGCCAGGAAAATAGGTCTTTAAAAGCCCGTGTATTTCATCTGGTGGGGAAAGAACAAAGCCATTCTCAAAGTCTATTCACTTTATAAGACTGACTTTAAAAGCTGTTATCTAAATTCCCCTGGTGATCGTCAGTTCCGTCTTAGCTAAAAAAAAAAAAGGTGGGTGAGGAAGCAGGCCCAGTAACAGCGGCAGGAATTGAGAGGTGGAGGCAGGACAGGACGCTACAAAGCCACTTTGATGTGTGGGCGACGTGCTGCCTCCCGCCGGACTGAGCCGCTGAGGTACATAAATAAACTTGACAACAGCAGGCTTTCCTTGAAATCCAACGTACAACAAATTATTCTGTTAACTAAAGTGGGTATCAGAATACTTCCACCAGGCAACACACACTTCGGTTAGTTGGTTCCTATAAATGCCTGTAAATAAAACTTCTTTTTCAATGTCCACCATTCAAACTGGCCTCCTTAATTATTCAAAATTAGTGATGCCTGCCACATGTTTTATAGATCCTGTTCCAAAATTAATGCTTCACAACTTTATGGGATGTATCTTAACATCAGAGAGAAGTTAAACAGATGAAAGAAGAAATTAAACAAATACATATATGAATTCTGATCAGTAAAAATGTTAATGTTTAAGTTGGCACCTGTGTAGTACATCTCGGAATATTTGTAGTAAACAGTTGTGAAGAGACTACTTTACAAAATCCAAAGGTGACCTCGGGGCTGTGATCCAAGCCTCGTCCCCCTAGCCGCGTGGGCCGCCGTCCGGATCCCCTCCGCCTGCTTCTGCCACAGTGCCCGAGGGGCTGGTCGTGCTGCTGTCCTCTGGGCTGCCTTTGGCATTGGTCCTGGGCTGGGCCTTTGCTGCTGTGGGTGAACCTTCCACATTCCCGGACGGCTCCTGGCCAGAGACAGGTGCAGGAGGCTGGCCGCTTTTAGGACTGATTTCGGTTGGTGTGCTTTCTCCTGGGATTCCACCAATCTCTCTGGGCTTTGTATCCAAAATAGGTGACTTGGCCTATAAAGCAGAGTTACATTTTGTTTGAATTGTTTAAGTAACGCAATGTGATGGTTTAGTAATCAAGCATGTTTAACAAGTTTCTATGCAATTCCGTCATAAACAAACTCTGAATTCTTTCAAATCCTGGTTCCAGTGCTAGATTGTAATTATGTAAATGTTATTAAGCCCCAAGGAACTATACGTGGAGGAGTAGGACACTTGGGACATGCTAGGTGGTCAAGTGACCAAGCTCAGGAAGGGTCAAGAGGATTGGTGGCCGGGATTGCTAACTCCTTGCCTGCTGAGAACAATTCATTCGACAAACATTTATTGAGTACATATTAAGTTCTAGATGCTGGGGACGTAGCAGGAACAAAACCCTGCCCTCGCTGGAACTTACATTTAGGCTGGGGAGAGATGCAGGCAACAAATTAACAAAGTGTCATGCTGGAAGTGGGGGGCAGTGGTGGGGTCAGACTGCTGTTTGAGTCAGGGTGGTCGGAACGCTGGTCTGCAAGTAAAAGCTTGAAGAAATGAGGTGAAGAAATGAAACGTGAGCATGTGAGGGAACGGAATTCCAGACGGCGAATGGCAAGCGCAAAGGCTCCCCGTTCCAGGAAGCGTCAGGAGGCCCCTGTGGCTGACGTGGGGTGAGGGAGGACGGGGGGTGGGTGGGGGTGGCGTTCAGTGTGGTAACAGCGGGGGGCATAGGCAGATGGAGGGAGCCCCGGGCCACCACAGCAACCCTGGCTTTCCCTGCAAGTGGGATGAGAAGTCCCTGGAAGATTCCTGCGATGAGTGACAGATAAACATTAACTATTAAAGCTGAAAGGAACATCTAAGTTTTAGACACGTGCAGAGATGCTTCCCCTTACGAGGAACTCCACGGAAAGGGATTCCATGATTGCCTCGCTTCTACTGTGTTCGTAGCTATTTTTCAAAGATTTACAGTTGCAAATTAAACTCTGCAAATGACAATACAAATTCTTCTCTCAAACAGAAATGGAAATGTCCCTTTAAATGGCCAATAATGGTGGAAAAAAAGACCTCACCATTCTGCAGGTCAGAAGTATGGTGTCAACCATGCTAAGTGAAATAAGCCAGACAGAAAACGTTGAAAATCACATGATATCACTTATATGTGGGATATAAACCTAAAAGCAACAAATGAACAGGACAGACAGAGACTCATGGACGTGGACAACAGACTAGTGGTTACCAGAGGGTACGGGGGGAGAGGGGAGACAGATGAAGTAGAAGGGGTCAAATATGTGATGACAGAAAGAAATTCAACTATGGGAGGTGAACACGGTGTAAATAGATATATATGTCTTACTGTTAAAGTGTACAGATAAAGCTTATCGATTTCATTAACCAATGTCACCATAAAAAATAAATTAAAAAAATAAAAAATAAATTCCTGTGTTAAAAAAAGCATAGTGTCGCCAAATAATATAAAGGATTTGGGAAGGCGAGGTCCCGGCCTCTCCCCAGGCCACTGTTCCCGCTCAACTGCAGGGCTCTCCCATGGGTTCCTGAGGGCTCCGGTCTGCACTGTGAGGCCTTCTTTCCATCTCGTCAACGGTAGACATTTCAGTCATGCTCACTTGTTGGCTTCCTATGAATTTCATACGAATTACCATCTGTGCTATCAAACTACTGTTAAAAGAATATTTAGCATAAAAAAATAAATCTCATTTCTTCTGAGAAGACTGGACTTTTGACCAGAAAGGGGAAGAGAGAATGTGAATAATTATATCATTAGCGATATAATTAACAGTAGAGGGCAGAAGTTGGCATAAAAACACTTAGCCCAAAGCTCCACAGGAAGCACTGAGGCCTAGCGGGAGGACAAGGGGAGGAGCAGGTGCTGACTTACGCGGGGCGCCACCACGGGATGCTCTCGTGCCTCTGCGTCTGGTAAGTCGAACGCCCGAAGCACTTCTGGGCTCTTGGTGCCAGTCTGAAATCTCAAGTCAACATCTCTCTCTCTCAAAACATCTCTTCTACTCTCATACGTTTTGTCATAAGGGCCTTGCTCAGTGGGGCCAATTCGCCCCCTATAATGAAACTCTGCATCACCTGCTCCACCATGGGGTCTATAATCAATTTCCTGCTGCCGACGTTTGTCACCCAGCTGACGGGCCGGGGGCTGTTCTCTTTCAGGACCACCTAAAGGTCTCAGCATATGAACTGATTTTCCAGCACCGTAGCAGAAACTCTAGAAGGAAAAGAAATACATATTCCTGAGTACTTAATGTCTGACTTACGATGAAATTATGAGGCACTTTTTATTCAGAGTGCTAACAAAATTATGTAATTTAACTTGCGGTATTTAGGGACAAACGTGACTGCACTGTTCTTTCGTCAGAGATCTCTTCTTTAATACAGGGCCAGCGTAGCCAATAAAACTTGAGAAATCGCTCAGCTGGACACATGTTGAACAATGGCAGTTAGGCTGAAGTCTACACATTTAAATTGGAAGGTACTAACTGTCTGATATTTGCTCATATGTTGTCTATACTTATACCCATCATGTAAGGTAAATACTGAAAACTGTTCTAAGCTGTAATCACCATGTAAACATTCTCCCATAGGTTAATTTTTTTTTTTAAAAAAAAACCAATACAAACCTGGCTTTAGCTACAGCTAAAATTCGATAGGCTTTGACTCAGTCTGTGGAGGACGTCTCAAAGTGTGCCCCACAGACCCCTCGGAAGACCCCTGAGACTCTTGCGAGGGATGCGTGAGGTCAAAACTTTTCGTAACACATTGACATTAGTCTTCTTCACTCCCTCGTGAGTGTGCGGTAGAGTTTTCTGGGCCTGGAGTGACTTCCTCACTCTGATGGCACATGGGCTGTGCTTGTGTACACTAGTGTTTCTTAATTTTCTCAGTTTAATACCTAATGTGGTAAATATCAATAAGTAAAACTCCCATAAACAAGAGCTCTTTGTGGTCTTCAATTCTAAGGAATGCAAAAGGATCCTGAGAACAAAACTTTTGAAAATCACTATACCAGAGTTACTACTATTTGAAGGCAGAAGCAGCAAAAGGCCTTTTCTTAGGCAGCAGGTGAAAAAGCAAGATGGGTTTTTGCTTACAATTTCAGTTTCAGAGACTAAACTACTACTACACAACTAATGTCATCTAACAAAACATACCCCTAAACCACTGAATCCTGTAATCACAAGCCAAAAAAAGGAGAAAACAGGAAAAAAATTCAAAATAAATATAGCATAGCGAATTTTGTGTCCTTGGGGAGGAGGACAATCCTTTAATAATTTCCGTGGCACCTCCGAGTTCTTTATGGTTTATTTGGGTAAAGGGTGAAACCAACAACACAAAAAGCTAAAGAGGCCACGGATGAATGATAAGTAACATTCTTTCTTAATAAATGTCTGTCCTAGAGCTCCAGACTGTCAGTGCACACGCCCCTTCCACACCCCCGACTCTTCCCTTCTCAGTGCTGCAAACACTCAGACTGAAATAAGGCGGCCCAATTTCTCCAAGAGGACAAACGACTGATTTCATGTGTGTTAATTCACCAAGCTTAAGGAACAAATTTAAAAAGGTATTATTTTAAATCACTGCCATGATGTCTATAATCGAAGTCAAGCACCACATACGTGCAAGCACAAATGAAGCCGTATCGCTTAAAATTCCCCTTTCCCTTCCATTCAGTAGGACTTAACCCAATTATCAGGCTTCGTCAAAGCCTAACAACTTCAGCATCAGTTAACTGTCAACAATGCTCCGTACTAACCAGGACGGCCAGCGCCATAACTATCAGCACTGGGATGTGAAGTAAAACCGGAATCTCCTTCATGAGCGCTCTAATAAATTCGCCAGTCCCTTTACCAATGTGCTTCAAAGGCTCGGAGACAAAGTTGGTGAACGTAACCGCCAGTGCCTGAAACGAAAGGTAAAAGCAACTTAATTTTTTTCCTCAAAGGATTCTGAGGCACACAGAATGAGCCAAAATTCACTGGGCATTGAGGCTAAAGTTATGTTATATAAATCAAAATGCTGTCATATGCTTTTAAAAGCGGGAAGATCTCTGTGCAACAGTATTTTTTCTAGAACAAATATTATTAGCAAAATGACTAAAAAACACTACCAATTTTTAATAAATGCAAGAGATTGACTTATTTTGTATAAGTAAGTTTTATAAAATAATCCATACCTTTGTTGGTGGGACCAACCAGATAGGGTTGACTAATAAGAGCTCATAGTATTTTTGGCATGGGTCATCCTTATAGGTCCATGAACTTCTAAGCCATTCTATTTAGAGACAGAACACTGAGTTATTTAAAAAAAAGTTGTATTTCATTCCCAAATAAGGCAATATTTTGGTTTTACTCCCGACACTAACATCAATTTAAAATTTTTTTGAAATAGATTACCTATAATGCTGATTTAAAAATCTTTTATATGTCCAAAATGTTTATTTTAAAAAACCCAAATTGTATAAATCTTATGCAGATAAAATATTATATTTTACAAAGATTTCTAAAAAGTAACTATTTAAAAGCTGTTCTTTTAAATATAAATGAATCCAAGTAAAACTGGGGAACTCTGAATGAGATTGGTGAAAATCATATCGAAGTCGCTCTCCGGGCTGTGATATTAGTATGTTGTATTAGTGTAGCTGTGCAGGATGTTAGCACTGGGGGAACATGGGTAAAGGGTGCACGGGATCTGTATTATTTCTTAACTTGTGAATCTACCATAATCTCAATAAAATTTCAATTTAAAAAGTCAGTTCTTACTTTATAAAATATATTAGAATCTTAGTTCTCCCAATTTTTCTAAATCGGGCTTACATTAGGCACTAGCCTGAGCTAAAGGTGGCATTTAGTTGTCCCCTGAAGCCAGGAAGCAGGCTGGGTTGGTTTAGATCCCATAACTTCTTAAGAAACATTAATTTTGGACACCTGGATTTGTAGAACCTGCTGAGATTCTATCCTGGATCAGTCATCATGGACTTGATTTATAAACTGCTTTAAACATTAAACCATTCTCATTGCTAGATAGATATAACTACAGGCAGTCAACGTTAGTGAGAATGTTATAAAATCTGTAAGAAAAAAAAGTAAAATAATTTTCCCCACAGTAAAAAAACAAGAGTATAGTAAAACTACAACATAAGATTTTATTAAATCAATACAAGGAGATGAGGTCTAAGATGGATATTAATTCACATGTACGTCGATTCACTTCTTTAATAAACTACCGCTGAGGACCTAGAATGTACGAAACGCTGCGGTAGGAAGCAGATGAGCACAGTGAGCACAAGACCCTTCCCAGGCTGATGGAGGAAGACAGACAACATCAGAGGCAGCACGTACAGTCCCTATTCCTCCCCTGTGACGTTGCACAAACACAGAAGTCACTAGTCTGGAACCTAAGACTCCTGCATGTTCTTCTGATAGTAAAGATTTCCGTCACAGAAAGCCTCCGTGTGGCATTTTATCATTTCTTTTTTAAACTGTTTTCTCATTCGCAGACATTCTATTCAAAAGGTGAAGGGAAACACCACCTTACCCCAGAGACTTCCGGCCCAGTCCATCTTCTCAGCACACACGTTGTTTAACGGCTGCAGCTTGGCGACCTCGGCCTGATGCTGTGCGAAAGCGAGCTGACCGACACCAAAAGGAAACCGTGAACTGCGGACAGTGAGGGTTCCGCCCCGCACTCAAAATACCTTAGTTCAAAGCGTGTCCTCACCAAACACCAGACTGTTTAAAATTTTTTAATAGAAAAAGTAGCTCTTTTCAGCTCATAGCAAAGAAAGTCTTAATGCAACAAATAAGGATAAAGAACTAAAACTGCCTTCTTTGTAAGTAATTATGAGGAAGGAAAACCTTTTCACTAAAAAGTTATTTTTTTAAAAAAATGAGTTCAAATATAGTATCATACCGTGCCTCAAAATACAGCGAGAGATATATCTGTTAAATGACTTCTCATTTCATGATAAAATGGTGTTTTGCTTTGGATGGTTTTCAGCACAAATGGCCTATATAAAGGTAATATATCTTTTATAAATCAAAGGGGAAATCATTGAGATTACAGTATTCAATCAATTATTAATCTGTAAATAACTGTTAGTTCTAGAAGCTATGAAACTTAGAGCAAAGGGTTAAAAAAATCACAATGTGATCATGAATTCAGCGAAAATATCTGGCCACTTGACTCACCCTGCTAAAAAAAAATCTAAAATTTTTCTTTGATGATATTGCTATTTTGACAGGAACAGTAGTGCTTTTTTTAAATATCTATATACAGCATGATCCCAATTTTGAAAGAATTAAAATTTTTTTAAAAATTGGAAAGAAATTCCTCAAAATATTAACAGGGAATACTGCTAAAATATCTCTAGGTAATAAAATTATAGGTGATTTTTAAAATTAAATTTCCCTGTATCTATCTTTTCTACATTCTCTACCATGAACATACCACTTTTACATTCAGAAAATAACCTTAACTTTTGAAAACTAATATTTTGATACCATTTCTAGCAAAGAATAAAAGGACATACCCAAATCGAATAAGAATTTTTAAATGTGTCTACCTAGCTCTATTCTGATTTAGCTGTCCAGATGCCACCTATCAGGAATTGAGTCGTGAAAATTAAAACTGAACTGTCTTCAAACTAGTCAAGGACCTAAGAAAGCCCAGTACAGCTGGGTAGTTGCCAATTACTCCCTCTCCCATCTCCAATCACTGCCACTGACCTTTATCTGAGGCAAGGTTATATACTAGCACCAAATGGGTCATAGTCTTCTTTTATTATAAAATAGCATTTAAAAATTTTAAAACCTCCCACTGACTTAATACCTTGTATAAGTACATCCAATTCCATCCAAGACTGAAGATAAAACTGATGAATAAAACACGTCTCAGCTGGGTGTACCAACGAACATATGTCCACAGCTCAGTAGCTACTAAGACCACAATGCAGAGCAGACACAGAAGCACCTTCAAAACAGAAAGAAGCAGAAAGCAGAATCACTGCCAAGGCGTCATACCCAGTCCAAATGATAATGGTCAACAAAAACAAGAGAACTGGACTCAAATACACAAAATTATTTGTACCATATACTGCAAGTCCATCACAGTATGAGTGACAGGTTCTTAATTATGGTGGAGCATTAAAAGTATTTAAAAAAGAAACTGTTAACCATGTCTGCCTTATCCCAACTTACCATGAACACATTATAGGGGTCCACGCCAAAGTAATCTTCAAATCGCCACTTCCACACTTCAAAATCATGAAATTTAAAATTAATTAAAATATCACTCAGTGCATCATCCAAGGCTCCTGGCTTCCAGTCTTCTCCATTGAGAAACTTCTGTATTTCTAACAAGGTTTGTCTTTTAAGGATAATCTCAGCATCGTAATGCATATCACCACTGTTTTCATCAGGCTGAATTAAATTTGCCAAAAAACAAACAATAGAAAAGAGAATTTTATCATTATGTTACTCAGTGAAACATTTAAAGACAAAAGCCAATTTGGAACTAAATATATAATTTAGTTCACAATATTTCACACATACAAAATAATGATACCCACATATGTGTCACAGGCCAACATGAAAACCAAAGATAATACATGTGAAAAACATTTCAAAAATTCTAACACTCTAGGCAAGTAGGTGATATATATTTTACTAAAATACAGTTGATTCTTGCTACCTGCAGTAGTTATGTTCTCTAAAGTCACCTCAAACACTAATCAGCAAACCCTGAACCATGGCTCCACAAGAAATGCGGGGGTAGGTTCCTGTGAGCACATTCTAATCAGCCAGTCGATATATAATCTTTATGTGTTTCTGTTTAAAGACACCTTATTTACTATATACTGTTGGTTCATTAACGCTGAACTCACAGCCAATAGCATTATAACTGAGGCCTAAAGTAAGCTTATCGAACAGATATTTTCTCTGTAAGGCACGTCACAGCCTTCCTGCACTAAGGAACACCAGGCAGTGTGACGCCTGGTACGTGTAGTGAAATAACCACACACACCAGAAACGGTGTAAAAAGTGCAGCCCTCTGTAAACCAAGAAAAAGCGCACGTTTATGGTGTGAGAGCTGACACCAGAAGGCAGAACGCAGCCTCGCTGGAGCTCAGCTGGAACGGGCGCGTCAGGCAACCCGAATGCTCTGCCGCTCTGCACACGTCTGAGTGACCACGACGGGACCGCGGCTCTGACTTGGGGTTACGAATAAGGTTCAGTGAGCAGGCGAATCTGCAAACGTGAGATCCGTGATTATGAGGGTCGACTATGTATCTTTACCTTATGATTAAGTTTATGACTTTCTATATGCTGACAGTTTTCAGAGAGCCTAAAATTTGCAGTGATACAAGAAAAATAAGAGAGACCTCAAAAAGCAGTTAAATCTGAGTTTCATGAACATACATGATATTTATAACCATCTTTAGTAGTGCAAGCTCAGGTTAGCAAAATCACTGTAAACATTTTACATTCATTAATCAGTTAACGTAAATTAGAGAAAATTGTTTTTTCTTTTATAAGAGTAAATGTGGGTATTTATCTAAAAAATATAAAACAAGAAAAACCGACGTTTCATGTAAAATCACAAATCATCAGTAAACAAAGCAGTCATTGATTAGTATTTTTTTTTAAATCCAGGAGCTATGTAAATATTTCCCATCTCCGTTTTAAGTATTTTCTGGCTGCACGTTTCCTCATCTATAAAAACAGACTTGCTCCACCTCACAGTTATAAGACTCGAACTAAAGGGTGCACAGATGAGAACATCTGCTTTTTCACTTTCAAAGGTGGGATTATTAAATTATTCATGTAACACTCCTTTCCCTTGATGTTCTGACTGCCCAAAGTGAAAATAATGACTATAAAAAGGGGAATCTTAACATTAATTATGAATAATATGCACTTGATATGCAAGTCTATAAAGCAGCACTTGCCACAGTAAATAGCTAAGAGAAAAAACTGCTTAAAACACGTTTCTCTTTTCCTCGACATATAATGATCTTACATCGCCTGAGTAAGAAAGTGTGGAAGTGGCAGAAAACAAGGGCCAGGATAGAATTTCCTTACCAAGTCAGGAGTTTATTACGGTTCCTACTCTTTAGTAAAGTTCAAGTAGCAAATTTAAACCCCCCAACTCAATTAAGTGGTGCAGCGGTGCAGCAGTGCATGGAGCTGAATAAGTAAATCCCCATGATCTAGAAGAGGCGTGGTCTGCACTGCTTGGCCGCCTCCCACCAAACCAGTGGAAAGCAGGTTGCTAACTTTAATCCTGCAAGAATAGGTCTGGTAAAAGGGCGAATCAGGTATTCTCTGTTAAAGCATGATGCTTTATCACTGCTTTATATAATTTGAAATTAATAATGAAAATATCTCCTACGCTGATTACTATCACACCAACAATACTCACAAGTCCAAGCTTTTTGGTTTCAATTAAAATCTTATTTAGGTATCTCCTAAAAACAGGATTGCTTTGACTTTCATAGTCTTTCATCTTTTTCTTTTCACACTCATCAATCTGTAATCACAAAAATAAAAACAGTTAGCATCAAGTTTAATGGAAGGGTCAAGTTTCTAACCTATGGCCTCATCAAGATCAAGGTAAAGAGCTGGTTATTTTTATCAAGTCTGCATTTTCATCAAGCTTGCATTTTTATCAAGTTTGCATTAAAATGAGGAGCTTGCCTGTCTGTGGGTTCTCTTTGCAAAGGGCAAGTAGGCAACAAATGAGTAACACATGTCCAGCACTTAGTCCTGACTGGCAGATCTTCTACTGACTTTCAGCAATTTTAAAGCTGAAGATCATGAAGCAAGGAGGCAGAGATGTGGATAAGCAGAACATGTGGCCCAATCTGTCTCTTCCTCATTCCAAAGTAACGACAGAAAGGAAGGAGTAAAGGGAGGGGGAAAAGAAGGAAGGATATATAAAGAGACAGAAAGAGATAGAGACAGGATGAAGCCAGAATAAGAAATGAAGGATACAGCAAAGCATTTCTTGCATGAGCATATTACTTTTGGCCTTTTATGAACTTCTGTCAACAACTGATCGTCCTCTCCTGTACAGGTCACTTCCAGAAGCCAAGAACTATGGCTTCTCCAGAGTGTCCTCCAGATGGCAGCTCCTCAGCACACAATTCCTTAGCACAGGCTTCCTCTGAACATGGCTCTATGACCACCGTGGTCAAGTTGCGAGGTGAGGGTAAGGCGTACCTTACAGACATTAAAATTTGTGATAAGAAACCTTTTTTTTTTTTTTAAATTGAATGTGGACCACGAGTTGAATTGCCCTTGAAAATGGGCGTCAGATGATAAACAAGATAATTAGCACTGAACACAAACTTAGGACACTTGAGAGAAAAGTTCCATGGCAGTTCCCTTGCTTTCAGGAAAGTTTACTAACCTTCAAAATTTTTTACATTTCTCTTTACGAGAAATAATTTTTTTTTTTTTTTAACAAGGACTCAAGACTCCATTTAATAATGTTTTTACACTGTTTGAACCAAAGTCACAAACAATAGAATGAAACATTTCTGCAAAAGGGCATTTCTGCATTTTTTACTGTGCAGCCAAACAAGCTCACTACACCACAAAACCCAGTCAAATGGAAGCCAATTTCACCCATTTCTTTGCTAGCATTCAGGTGAGGCAACATTCACGTTTAGTAAGAACCACAAGCAGGCCTCTACAGATCTCAAAGTGAGATAGACTGGGATCTCAGTCGACAAGCAGGCTCTGAAGCTGGAGACCTCCCTCCTTCACTCCAGCT